GTTCACATTCGTACTATTTTCTCTTAACTCTTTCTTTTTCTTTATTTTTTTCTCCCTTAACCGGAACTAAAAAGCGAAGCGGAAAAGAAATTGCATGAAGTCGATAATTCACTGCAATTATCAGAAGGATAAAAGGCAAGCAAAGCTGCAATTTTCCAACCGCGCCACTATACAGGAGCACGTCGAGCGTGATAATGGTATGTAGAATGCTATGGTGGTGAATCCCTGCTGAGTTGAACACTTTATTTGCTTCTGAGCCACCGCATTCCAGGTATCATCGATAGAAATGGTGTTAATAATTAAGAAGGAGAGGAAAGGCAAAATATCAAATATTTAGCCTGCCAAATATTTATTGCACTTCTCACAATAAAGTTATGGATAAACAAAAACACAAAAATCAAAAGATACTTAATTGCATTTATGTTTATGATTATAAGTTCTGTGGTGTATTCTGTTGAGAAATTTGAATTTTTTTGCTAAATTCATAACATTATCCGTTGTATGTTTCAGGAATTAAAATTTACTGAAGAGCTGCTGCTGCAAATATTACTCTAAAGGGGTACTTTTATCTATATTCAGTTAATTAAAATAATTTGTTAATACTTCCTACTTTACCGCTTGCTCATTTCACAGAAGATTTATATTCCTTTTTCAATTTATCATTATGATGTTAACTAGCTCCTTACTTTGCCGCTGAAACAGGGCAGAACATTTCGTTTACTTTCAGATATGGAGACAAGCTGACATAGTAATTATTCAACATACCTTAAGGTACAATATTCAAATTAAAGATGCACACAGAGAGATTTGTGAAATCAAACATTTGTTTAATTCAACAAAGTTCAGCGGAAATAATGTAGATCTTCCTCAGAACTCATACTAGTTACTAGGCAACGCCAGTACTTCCTAGCTCCTAAGCATCCAGTAGGGAAAGTTATACAACAACCACAGATTACTAACATTCCCCCCCCCGCATAGATACTTCGCAAATTGGAACACGTTTAAGACTCTACGGTCGGAGAAGCAAGATATAATCATTAAATATACAGCACTGAGGCGGAGAACAGATGGTTCAGACCTTTACCGAGCTTGGAGGTCCACATCTGGGATTTATTAAGAGGCCTCGCAGCCCCGGTATGGTTCCTCGCCTTCCTAGTGCAAGAGAAACGTAATTTACTGTTTGCGTCTGTCAAAAGTACATTCAACGGATGTGGAACCATGTTCCAGAGCGAAGGAAAATATGTTCTCAACTGACTTTATTTCTCATTCAAGATATATTTTCTCTGCCCTCTTTGCTGCGGTGCATGTTCAATTTTTCGTTTCCAGATGCAGTTTCCAAGGTAACGGAGAACTCGAAGCCGGGGATTGGGTCATAATGTTTCTGGAAAATTTCAAATCGAGGTGTCTGAAAGTACAAAGGAAGTTGATATACGTTTTTTGATTTTTGAAATAGGAAATCAATTTTAATATATGTTTCACTTACCGCAAAACAGGAGTGTATATGTTTTGAAACATCAAGATTTTAGGCAACTGACGAAATGATCTCCCCTGTGCTCGACAAAATAGCTGAGTATTGAAATTGTGGCTCACATTACTTATAAATATCCTCTAAGGAAACTTTAAATTCACTCTGATAATTTGAACAGGCATTAAGAATAAATGAAATAAATACATATGTACATATATTTCTACGAAGCTATTCTTGTCATTAAAGACAACTTGTTCTTGTCCCAAAATGGAGAAAATTCAGGATCTTATCAAAGACGAAAAGGTCAAAATTATCACATACAGAATTTTCGATGCTAATTTTCTTTTCAGAATGTATGTCTTCTGTATTAAATTGATTGATGAAATTATAAAATAACATGCTATTTTTATCTTCAACGTTTAAAACTTGAGCCAATATAAGGAAATAGGAACTAATACGAACTATATGAATAATTATTTATGAAACTGGGTGATTTATTTTGAAGTTCATATGTTACACTATTTTTAGGACAATTTTGTTTCATTTTTGCTGGGCAGAAAAATTAAAACGTTTTACTTTCAATATTTAACTTCAATTAAAGGGAGTCAGCTCCTAAACAGATGGTGAAGAAATGAAGTAGAAAAACTGTTCAATCTTAAGAAAGAAACTTTTAGAGCATGTATTTGTAATATGATTAATGTTTATATAATAAAAATGATTAATGTTTATATAATAAATATACAATAAAATATAAAATATATAATTTCTTGCAACCTGAAATTATTCTTGAAATGCAAATGGCAAGATAAAACGTGGATTGCATACTCGGATTTACAATTAAACATTTTAGATAAGCGATTGTTTACGACACACATTTTGTAAAACAAAGCTGTTTCATGATTAGTAAGCAGAAATCCATAAATTCTGTGCTGCAACGCTCTCACCATCGTTACTTAAAATCGTTAAACTGAGCAAAATCTGATGTTATTGAAATAGTCTGAACTTTCTTTGATTATTTTTGCAACACTTTTTATATTTATTCACATAGCATATTTAAAAATTCTCCCATGAAACGTGTTTAAGACGAAAAAATTTATCCTAAATGTTTTTCTGTCTTAAACACTAAGCAGCGGAATCTACAAGAATCATAACATTACTGTGACTTACAATTCTATAAACTTAATATTAAGATTTCATGAATTATGTTTTCGGTAATTTTCCTGGTGCTGCTACTAATAGCACTCACATTATTTGGTTTCATCACCTAACAGGTACATAATATAGAAACGTGTGAATAGTCTTCTGGAAATAAATAAATAATACAAAAAGTGAAAGAACAGAAAAGACAAAAAGCGATAATGCAAACTTTCATTTGTATGCAGAAATAACATGGCCCAATGAACATAGCGCTACTCTTAATTAAATTTAAATCATAGTTGAGTGAGATTTTAAATGAAAATTATCCCAATGAAATATTTAACATAAATCTCCTATTATATCTAGTTTTCTGTAAAGTTCTTACTTCCCTTAATTGAATTTTTTATGATAATTAGGTATGGTATTTTAATATTCAATTTTAGTATTTTAATATTCAGTTTTTATTACTCGTAAATGTAATTTTGTTTATTATTTGTGTTCAAACATCTTTGTTAACAATTTTATTTTACCTTTCGTAAATATTGTTGACAAAATTCAATCTGTAAATCATTTTCGACGCAAAACTAGAGCACAGGAATCATGGCACAAGTTTTGACTATGATTTAATACAAGTTTGCTTTAGAGAGAATGATATTGTTTATTCACGCAATGAATTCCAATATAATGAGCAATATTTTTGGTCCAAAATTTCTGGACTTTTTAATATACTTTGTTTTAAAGCTTAATTTACTTATTGCAACGTTCTAAAAATATTTTAAGAAAAGCCCCAAATTGTATAAAATATATAATTAGCCTAATTATCTTCTCTAAAATTTCCACAACAATGTATATAATGTTTTGAATAAAGTTTGATCAATACCTTTAATGACAGTTCCAGTTGCCACTCCGTATGTCTAATGCATTCAGAAAGCATACGTATCTCACAGAGCTGGAGAAGCCATTTTGACAAGTGGAGTGGCTAAATATTTGAAGGCAAGTAGTTACCTTACCTTCAAAGTGAATTTCATTAATGATTGGAGAGTTACCGGTGGCGGTACGATTAGATTATATTTACTTCAATCAGATAACACTGACGATATCAGGAACGATATAGGGGAATGCGTTAAACTGCATTCTCTGTGGAGTTAGCAGATAATCGTGTTAGAACTCCATGCCCAGAAACGCTTTGAACTGATAAGAATGACAGAGTAGTACTGAAAGAGCTACATCTTGAACAGCATAACTTCTGTAGGTTACCTGTAAATTTCATTTTCTTGCAAAAGTATTATTAAACAGGTCTGTAACTAGTCCATGCCATGACTGATAAATATTCAAAATTAATCTCAAGTTTTCATAAGATATATCCATTATCAATTTTCTGAAGTTCTTAGACTCACCAATGAAACAGAGTGGGGAATGATTCTTTTAACCATCCAAATTTAAAATAATGATAAAAATAAGTAGTCTTGTTTAATTGCTTAAATAAGTTGCAAATGTTGCTGCAGAGTAATCATTCCGAACACAAATGAGTGTTATACGATTACAGACATAACGAATTACTACGTCATTTTACTCCTAATAATCAACGTTTATTGAAAATATGTTTATTTGCTTTTTTCTTAACCGAATACAGCAAAATGTTGCTTGTCTCTGAGGAAAGATGCTTTTGCGGATGACATTGTGCAGAAAACTGGATTTTATTCATCACATATTGCAAAAAACATAAAATATGTTTAAAAAATCTATCTATATTTTAACATTAATGTTTTTATGAACAGTTTAATACTTATTGCAAAAATTACCGAAAATATTTTATATTATGTGGGCAACAGTACAACATATTTGAATTGCCGTAATCATAATGTGCAATTTATATTAAAAATTACTAATGCTCATCAAATAAATATTAATACTACTACTATTACTTAGTGGCAATTAATTCTTAGTGACACTACCCATGTTAATTTTCTTTGAATATCCGTAGCTAAGTATTTTATCGCAAATACTTCTTTACTTCATTGTTTCCATTTAAACTTCATTGTTCTATATCGTGTTTAGCACAGGGTTTTGTAGCCAGTGAGGAATTTCACGATCTTGGGTGGGGTTGCTCGTTTTCATATATGTAGACTCAATATGAAAAAAGACACTCCCTTGCAAAAAACAACTAAGATTCGGTTGAAACCACGAGAACATAAACGACTGAAGACATACTAAAAATATTATCTATATGTATCTGCTGCGAAATCCTTTCTTATTCATGTATATTAAGTATACTAACAATTCATATATTGATAAATAAATAATCAAAAATATTGATTAAATATAGTAACCAATAAATTTACAACATATTTCTAAAATGCATAATGTTTCAATCTTTTTTCTGTCTATTATTTAGTATGCACCAATTACTTGGGGAGAAACTTGTTAAGGAACGACATTCTGATAGGTGACGAGAATGGGAGCATGAACCGATGAAAACTGAGATCCACTGGTTTAGTTATTTAAAAGAAGAGAAGAAGCTTTTTCAGTCTTAGCGTTTAAGGTTAGACTATTATTTTTATTACATCGGATTTAAAATAAAATAATTAGATTTCATTCTCATAATGGTCAATTTACATGATCGAAACAAATTTTTTCGTTGCTTATGGAAATTTCACTTCTAAAATCAGAGCTATGAAGGCAGTGCTCATAACTACGTATCAGAAATTATCGCAATATGATCAGCTTGTAGAGACATTAGGTATTTTTTTTGGAAGCAGGCAAGATTAAGAATATGCAACGCCTTCGCCGAGATTCGAACCGCGGATCTCTGGAATACCGGCCCAGCGTGCACCAGGAAGGTATGCTAGGAAGGCGGGGGAAATACCTTATATACTGTACATAAACGGCGACTGGGATTTTTAGGGGACCCAATCGCCAAATCCTGAGTGAGGATTATCTAACACCCTTTTAGTTTATCTAACACCCTTTATTTTACTAGAAATAAGCTGCTTCTAGTCACTCAATTTATAATGTTATGATCAATTTTTACATGCAAATAACAATGTGCTGCTAGACAATAATGTAATTTCTGAAAATTAGTTAATACAAAAAATACGTTACAGCACATAATGAATCGTCAAAATTGAGCTGTTAAAGTTTCAGCACAACTTAAACAGTACTTAAATGTAAGCTTTGTAAACAATTTTATAGTTCTTAATTAATTCTGATAGTAAACAGATTATGTTTACAAAAATGATTTGTAACGTGGGAACATCCCGCCTGTTTCTAATGCAGTATATAATGTCCTGAAACATGTTGCCTGTACCCACTACAATAGATAACATCTTCAAAAATATGCACCTGCACAAATATGTATTTCGCAATGTATATCATGTAATTCAATCCCTTTTACTTGAGCTAATTTAACGCTGAAAGGTAGGAGTACCGTTGATGCCGCCGCCGGTGGCAGTACTTATACTGCTCACTGGAGTCACATTTTCCATCACGACTCGAGGAATGATGCCAGAATGTTGTTAGTTTTCTAGTTGGTGTGTGGGGCTAATACCTGCTTACTTAGGGTAAATATTAGGTGGCCCCCTCACTTCTAACATAGCATAACATCCTTTTAGTTCGTGCGCCATTGTAGAGACATTAGGATTTTTTGGAAGCAAGAGAGAATGAAAAATTAGCAACCGCCTTCGCCGGGAATCGAACCAATCGCCGGAAATCAAATCAACCCGAGAGTTTTCACGTGGAATACATGTATTAGCCTTCTGTATTTGTGTGAACTGTTTTAAGGAGATAAAATTACAATTTCTGTTTTGGGCATGATGCGATAAATCCTTTATTGTTCAAATACAAATTATTATCTTTAAGCATAAATGTCGATTTTGAGAAATAAATGTCATACGAGTAACAAAAGTCATACTTTAAAATTATCTAAAATTCTATTCTAAAACTGTGAGTACATTTAAAATCTCATTCGGAAGGAATTTAAGTAACTGCTAGGCAACATTAATAAAACGACGCACTGGGAAAATATTTTGAAAAGACGCAACTGTTGCACTCAGTAAATTTTCGAATCACTCAAGATCAAAAGTAACCCGGGTAACGGTATATGTCGAAAGTAATTATCTTTTGGGAATATTTTATGCGAGTGGTATAAGTAGTCAAATTCTGGGAAACGGATCAAAGGGTCTCGAATGCATACAGCATTACATTTTTGTTTAATTTTCCTCCCGTCTCATATACTGCGTGGTAATTATACAATCTCCCTGGAGTGCGGCGCGTAGACTCGGTTTCCACGTTTTCGTGCCAATTACGATTCAGGCGTAACTGAATTATTATTCTGCGACGCAATTCCACGTTCCAGGCTCGACAAGATATCGTATTTTGGGAATTGGGAAAGGAACTGCGGGTTTGATCGGAAGTTACTTTTCTAGGATCGTAGTAATTACGGAGGTTACTTGTTTGTCATTCGTAATTACTGCGTATATAGTATATGTACGCCACCTGCTTAATAAACCCAACAAGTCGTTGCACTCATTTTGTATAAGAATTACACAATGATGTCATTAGAGATGTCAAAGACAATTACGTGGTTGTTTTGCTGAGCGAAGTCTTCTTGATATTTAATTTACAGCATTTATTTGAAAGCTTCATTTTACTTATTCAATTATCCTTAATGTTTTAATTAATTTTCTTTTGAACTAGTGGAATAGGGTTACCAAAGTTTGATCGTTATTTGATTGTTAATACTTGTGATGAAGAGCAACATATCTCTGAAATTTGAGTACCTAAAAAGTACCTAAAAGTACCTAAAAAAAAAAAACCTTAGAGAAAACATTTACGATATATGTGATGCTTTATATCCATTGCTTCTTTTTTGAACGACATGTTTGCTACACGTTACATACTCATCGTACATTGCTAAGATTATGGGTTTTTCCCTTTATCTGGCAAAAGGTGTTCAGTCCAAAAGCGAATTATCACTCTGTATGAAAGTATCAAATGATTTGCTCGTGTATCGTATAGCTGATAATGGATAAGCACACGAGAGTTACCAACAACTCAAGGAAAATAATATATTCTAAGAAAGGTTTCTAAGAAAACCTCTTAGAGCATAAAAGCTCATACAAAAGGATTGCCCATATGATTATTGAAAGCTGTTCATTTATAGGGATATTATAAGTGAATAAATTTTTATTTAAACAGAACTTATACACCTTAAAAAGATAAATTTTATTAAATGTAAAGTTTTGAGACAACCCATTTTTACAAATGGTGATCCAAAACCAATGCTTCTAAATTTTTTATTCTACATGCTATTTTAATGCAAAATTTATCATTTAGAAATCTGCATTTGAAAGCAGATCTCATAGCTATCTTGAGCAACGGTTTCGTAAGGTTCCCCATAGTTTTAATTAACGATATCACAGATAAGGATGTCTCAGAGTAACTTCCTTGACTAATATGGTTACGGAGAACAGTCTTCTCGCTCACAATTTTATATTAAAGGTCCTTAAAAAATTTACATTTCGTATATTTTTTATGAAAGCCATCACGTAATTAAATTTGCCATAGTTTCAAAGCTTATATTACTTTATTTGTTTGTTAAACTGGTGCCATGATTGTTGTTCAAGAAATATTATTCAGACAGCTTTTCTGAAACACTCTATATATAAGGTATTTCGAAACATCCTTTACAGGATACTCATTCTTTATATTCAGTTATTTAAGATTTCGTTTTTTATGTTCTGTTTTACACGATTTCGTTATGATTAGTTTGTAATACACTTTTGACATAGCAAATGCATGACACTTTCGGTACACGTATATCAGAAGTGGTCCTCAAACTAAAATGATGTTCCTTCTTATTACATTTAATTCATGATCTTAATTTGAATTTGTGTCAGGGTATATAAATATTGAATAACTACATACAATGTGTTATCTGTTGTCTTTTCACAACAAACCATCCCTAAGAATGAATCTGACTTAGTAAATAAGTCATATGACTATTTTCAAATGACTCAAATGCATCCAAATCAGCCAACCGGTCACTTAAATTAAGAACCAGTTTTCTATCCCATTACCGAAAAATCAGGTTTCCTGTTGTTCGTGTTGAGCTCAAGAATCAGAAACTGACAAAAGTTTACAGATTCTGCAGGTTATTGAGAGTTACATATTTATTATAATTCATTCCTTATCGTATCTTGTTAAACTCTTCTAAAAACCATCAAAATTACCTCTTAAGAAAGGTAATAGATTACTGTCGCTGTCAAAACAATGCAGATTTAGTTGACACTTTTCTATACAGTGTAACTTAAGCCATTCACAATCGCTAATGAAGTGTTATAAAAGTAAAAAAATCACTTGCGTTCAACTGTATTTAAAATATAAATATTAAAAACAAATTTTGTATTAGTTTAATTTTAAATACATTCAACAGTTATCTCTTTGCAATAAAATTGGATAATAATTTTAATAGTTGACGAAACGGTAACTAGACATTCCTGCAAAAGCAGCAGAGAAGGCACAATAAAAATTATTCTTTTACCTCCAAACTCCCAATACAAAAAGAGTTGTCGCCATAATATTCTTCGATTTTCTTTTCTTACTCAAAAGAAGGCAGCATGTAGTGAAGGGGAAGGAGGAAATCCGAGAGTATGGAGAAGGAATTTTTATTCTTAAAATTCATCTAAAGCCTATTGACACCGAGGGGTGCAAAAGAAAGAAAAAGCGAACCGATATATCAAACCAGAAAAGAACTTTTTCTGTAAAAGCAAATTAAGAGACATTGATATTCAGTAAGAAATAGCTAGATGAGAAACAAATCGGCACAACTGTAGTTGCCGCGTATTTTTTCGCTTTTATTCGTTTTTTACTAGAAGGATGGCGAGGAGGAACAGACGATCACCCCCTCGTATTCAGATCTATAAAACGTTCACGTGTTACAAAAAAATGGAGCTTCCCCATTATTTGAATTTCTAGCGGTATGAATTATTCAGTAGTAGTGGCTGGCTAGTTTCTGTGTAGCGGCATTTTACCAGCTTTTACTTCCGATTATATCAACATAGCTCTCTCAGATAAATTTTCAGGCGTAATCGATTCTGTAAGATATTCTGAAGAATCGAAGTGCACTTCATATTACATGAATCTGAGAAACAATCCAAGCTGCCAAGAACTGAATAGCATCTTCAGGGCTCGAGTACAAACTGCTGTAAATCACTTTCTTTCCCTGTTTCTGAAGCAGTAAAACTGAATTTTAAAAATGCGCCGATTAAAAAACGGCTTCCGTGACTGTACTTCAATTTTTAAAACAGTGCGTAGGTAAATGGATAGAAATTATTCATGCATATCTCTCTTGTGTCATGATGCTAATGGAGGTTCAGTTAATGTACACGGTAATTACACACTCATTATTCACGCGTCTTTGCGTTACGGTAGCTGTTAGACTAATACCTGTTCTTTTCTTAAGATGATACAAGTTGAAAGACATTTCTTGCATATGTTTCTGTTGTACTATAGACAGCATAACTCCTGCCTCTCGTCATATCATTGCCCTTCGGAAATCGGTCTGGATGTTAAATCCAGACTCATTCGTAAAGATTATGTATCGCCACTGCTTTGGTGTTTGGCTTCGATGTTCACGAGCCAAATTCAACCGCGCTTTGACATGCGATAAGGATACGTGCTGTCAGGATCTACAGCGCCTTGCAAATAGCAACAGGAAATGATCCTCTGCCGTTGTGGTAATATTCCGGCGCCCAGACCCACGTCTTCTACAGGGATTTTGATCCCTTTGGTAACCTTTTCAAGGCTATTGGTGGCACAACGATGCACATTCAGCTCTCTCGCAACAGCAGATTGTCTAGTACAAGCTTGCAGCATCCCGACAGCCCTTCAACGCATTCCAGCGTGCAAATAGTGTCTTCGGCTCATGCTTGCCGCTTTGGCTATCTGGGATTACACGTAACTATCGCTGCTTGCAAACTGACGCATAGGTCCAGCATGCCCCTTTTTAAGGCGCGGTGTTGTGACTGCGGGATTGTGTTTTAGTTAATTTTGGTTGCCCATCTGCATTCGGTGACCTCTACCTCATATACAACCTGTATCTGAAGCGTAATTTTTATGTTTTAAATCCCCTTTTTACATTCTTAGCTTTTCCTTTACCTTTAGTATATTTTTTGAGCACGAGTGTATAAAAAAGTAAGTTATGAAGGCTTTAAGCGTGTTTTAGTTTAAAGATATTTCAGAATATTCAGATGTCAAGTCTTTAATACCATACTGATTTATTCACGAGACAATCGTTTTATACGCCATTTACTTTCATTCGTGCATCACTGCATGTATTTCACTGCTCATTTGCGCAAGTATCAAATCCATTTCTTTGCATTAAGAAAAGAATATTCAACTATAACAGAACTTGGAAGCAAAATCCTCCTCTCCAAAGGCACATAAAACATCAAATTTTTCTAACGGCACATTTGTTAGATTATTTCAAGTTTAGAAATGATACAAAGCTCGCTATCTTGCAAATAAGATTCTGTCAAAACTTTAAAGAGAAGCAGAAAAAGAGAGGAAAAAAAGATTAAGGGATATTCAAGCTAAAACGAAAGTACAGAACTTTAAGGTTAACGAGTAAGATTTGATCGTTTGAGAACATTTTTTCTTCTGTCGGTTGGATTCGCCAGCTGTGTCTTCTATTCTGTTTTAATGAAGGTAATAGTAAGTGTAACTCTCACGCAAACTTTTTTTTTTAAATTGGTGTCATGGAAAGTAAATGAATTTTCAGCAGGCATTTTATCTACCTTTGTACTGAAATAAGGCATTTAATCATTTTGTGAGTTTGATAAATATTTGATCTCAAAGTATTTCTTACTTACACTTACATCCTCATGATTTTAAAAACTCGAAGTATAACTCAACAGTAGTCTATGCATTTTGGATCACGTACATTTACCATCTCGACTGCAGAGAAAACGAACTTGCTTTAAAGACACATTTTATGTATATGTGCGTACAAACTAACTGATTTTTGTATAAGGTAAATGAGATAAAGGTTTCTGAAATATTTTCTTGTAATAAATTCACACACTTGATTTGATTTTATTGTATCCTAACATATGACAGGTGAAAGACAAATTTGAATCTACAGATTTCAAACTTAGACTAGTGTTGCTTAGAAAAATGCTATGTAGTTCGTTTTGAGAGATGATTTCACAAGACCTCTGGAAATACATGCATTATTGCTTAAAATGAACACAATCTTAATCTTGAATTTGCCTAAATTGAAATATATTAACCCTTTGCGGCACAGTGTGTCCGATCTTGACACACCTAAAAACTTCCTTCTGTACGCGCAGAAAAATTAAATGAAAAAGGATTTATAGGTTACTCTGAACCTCTTTATTTATAGTAGATGGCAGATCAACAGAAACCAGTCCATATATTTTAGCCATGCTTAGTTTTTTAAGACCATCATTTTTCGAAGAAATCTTCCAAATAATTTTAGGGTATAAAAAGAATTGTTTGAAAAGAAATTTCTAAGTTATTTTTTTGGCTGTAGGCTAATCTCCTTATTCTATATTTGTTTTAAATTTTTACCTTGAAATCTTGCCTAAAATCAAACGGCGAACCTTAGGTGTGCCCAGACCGGGCTCACCGATAATCTAGGACAACTGAGAGTCTGTATTCTTTGTTTCTCCGCATCTCATCGGTAAGTTCATTGACAACAATGCTCGTTTCAGCACTCTTTTCGAAGCTCTATTCAATCAGTGTGCCACTTTGGACACATCCACAGAATTAAAACGATAAGTGCTATCTTCACAAAGTTTTACTTGTTTACTCCTCTAGGCCTAATTAGACTGCCTACTCTTTTTTTATGAAAACTCCGACTTTAAAAGGTAGACGGAAAGGGTTAACAAGAGATTATCAAGAGAAAGCTTGATGAAATCTCGTAATCGTCAAAAATTGTGTAACTTGCGTATATGTGTATACAAAGATTAATTGTTTCTTTTCGAAAAATTACGTAAACATGTCACATAATTTAAATATAAATTTTACGGGCTTATTCTGATGTTACTGTCAGACAAGTGAGATAAATCACAACAACAACAACACAATTCCAATGGCAAAACGTATGCTAAGCGCGTGGTTTAAATCTACAACGCTGTTACTTCCGGACTGGCCATGTGAGTATAGCTCCTCAAATAGGGTCTTATTACCATATTAAGTGAATTAAAGAGATAAAACTACAATGTTGCTTAAAATAAATTAAATGCATTAAATATCAAAATTTTATTCATTCCTTTTTTATTTTCCTGCAATGGATGAAGACAGGTAGAAGGAAAATTATACTTGCCAAAGTATTTTCATCTTATACTTATTAGAGATAAATAATACCATGAAAAGACTTGTTATTGGCAACACAACATTTTTCAAAAACGCTTACTTTTATAAAACTAAAACAAATATGTGAATCCTTCCTTTCATCTTTATGTTCATGAATTACAATCTAATTACATCTAATTACATAAGAACATTTTCTTCAGAGAAAAAGCTTTTAAAGCTACCTTTGATAAATTATGCAACTTGGAGCTTAATTGCACGAATTTTGTTAACTGAGTAAGTATTTAGACGTAAAAGATGATGGTGATTATAAAGACGGAGAAAAAGAGAAGAGAAAAAAAAAAAAAAAAAAAAAAAAAAAAAGCTGAAGACGTTGACTGATAAAACTTTAAAGTCTTCATGATCCATCAGACTTCCAGACGTGCGTGTCATTTCTTGAAACAATTGTAGCTGAAAAGCTACATATAAACAAAGCTAAATTTTGAAACTATATTTCAGTGTAAATAACCCTTTTAAATACCGCCGAGAGTTAAAATCTCTCTAGATCGAAAAATGCATTTTGCCTGGGAGGGGTAAGGACTTTTGATGTTCGTGCTTGCTTATGAATAGAAGAAAAACAAATAAATTATACCCACGTAAAAGAAAAGACAATGCTCCAAATAACATTTTCCTTGTCACATAGTTACTCCCGACTTGTGTCACAAAGTTACTTGAAAAATCGCTTGAGAGCTAGGTTTTTCATTTTTTACAGAGGAGGGGTTGGAAAAATTGCAAGAGAGGAAAATTTGATTCTGGAGAAAGAAACATTGATGGAAAAAATATACGCATGCTTTATTCCACTCTTCATTTTTTCCCTTGTTGTCACGTTGTGCCGAAAATATTATATGTACACAATTCTTATAAAATACACGGTTAGCTGAGAAGAATGAATTTATTATTTCTTAAGAAAATTGAACGCTTTTAAAGTTTGAAACGTATGTGGAAAATACATTTGTTTACAAAAAGCTTTTAATGAAATTACAACATTTAAGTCAATAAACAAGAGCGAAGTTTTTAAAACAAATTCAGGAGCATGATGACAGAAATTGAAGATTTAAGTTGTTTTCAAGGAAACGCAGAAAGTTTAAAGAATTTTTCATACACCTTCTTTTCCTTAAGATTTGTAGTCACTTTATATAGAATAACTATAACTGTGTTACTCAACAAAGCTGTTTCAACTGCTGTTATGATGCGTTTGAGGATTACCAAGGCTTATGTTGATGATTTTAAACAATTTGATTTACAGATGGCGTTTTGAATGTTTTGTATTATTTATAATTTAGATATTTATTGCTTTACAGATGGCATGGTGATTTATTGGTTTAGAGATGATAATAATCTACACATGAGATGGTTTAGATTATTATTAATTTAGAGAAGACATTTTGAATGTGTTGTAATGTATTTTCTGCCTTTTTACAGCATGCCTTCATAGTGTAATTGGAAGCATATCCGACTAGCAATCAGAAGATCCGGAGTTCGAGGGCATTGCACATTTTTCACGTCTCCTGCTCCTAAATGACTTTGCAGTGAGTTTGACTTTGCAGTGAGTTTATTACTATACATTACTAATTTTCTTTAATTTTTTTTCACAACAGTTCCTGCTTAATGCAAAGATCTAGTGCGTATGATAATATATTGAAGTCATCGCTAAGTAACTTACTTTAAACTTAAACTAAAATTAGATATGAGAAAAACCCCTAAGACAGACAAAACTTGAACGTAAATAATGAAACCTATTCTTTTTCTTTTATTTTTAAAACTTTTCTATTTCTTACTACACTTTTGAGTTAAATAAGTAAAGTTCATAAATTTTGCAATCTTGAAGGAAAATTACTGGAAAGGTGTTCATCACAAATTGTAAATTCTCATTGGCAGTCTGGTTCTTTTCGTAGACTTATTAATTTTCAACTGCGAAAAAAAAAATCTGTTCCCATGTAAATGTACTTTCAAACAAAGCGATTATTTTTACTTCAACAATTCGTAACTGAGAATATTAATTTTTTGACAAGTATTAATAAATGCTAATCGAATTTGTATCTTCCAGTCGTAAATTAATTGGCTCCATTTCTAGGTTTTCCGGAGAAACACTTATGTACATTTTAGATAAAGAACATAATTTAAAATTGAACTCTAAACCATTAAAATCTTAAACTTTTTTTTCAAATTCTTTTCATAGCAATGCTAATTAATTTACGGGAAATGTATTCGCGGGTCGCTTAAAATTGCTTCGGGGGCCACCAGTTTCAGAGCACTACTATAAACTATGTTTTCAGCTATATTCACTTTTTGCGTCAACATAATGTTTAATGCTTTAAATGCGTTAAACTTTGGTTATAGATTTTGCAACTGTTTCCTGATTCTCTCAGAATTTTATACATTATTTTACATCTAAAACAAGGTGACTATTTGCGTAACTCTTTTAAAAAATGTCTACTTGCGGCATTGTGTATTAAGAAAGGAAATAAGACAACAAAATATCTCTGTGAATATATGCCGCAATTCTTATTTTTAACTCTATGATTTTAACTTCAGAAGTATTTCGGAAAAATATTTGTTAGTTTCCTTACAGGGTTTTCTGTCAAGTTTATTACGTTTGTGGAGAATGAGGGAAAAACTTCTCAAGACTAGAAGTTTAAAGATTACGAAAGTTAGAGTATAAATATATGAATTTCTACAAATGTAAATTTTTACTCTATGTAAATGTATAAAAGTTTTGCCAGTCACGCAGCATAGAGGGAAACATAGCCTAAAATGAGCTGGAGGCCATTAGCATAGTCATTTTTGCTGAGGTTAGCACGCAAGCATTTTACAACTCGAAAGATTTCTTTGCTTGTACTAAAATACGTTTTTTGCTGTGGCCTTTTTCAGATTTGGAAAGAGGTTGCATGGACTATGGCTGGAGAAGGTGAGCGTTCAAACATCATCTGCTGCTATCACTGTTGAAAACTCCGCACATGAAATGCATCATGACTTTGAACATATTTCGCCCTTTTTGGTCTCACACTACAGTGAAGATAATATTCCAAAAACGATTGGCAGTATTCTGCATCAACAGCTTAAGCCTCAGGAAGGTGATTAGACCCCCCTCGGGCTGAAGTTTTGTCACAGCTGAGAATGTTCCTGCATTTACAGCTGACTCAATTACTATCTATTATCAATCTCAATGAATGAATCAACTCCACAAAATGATCATGGATGTCCAATTGATGTAAATATGCAATGCAATCCATTCTTTTGCGAATTCCGCGAAACGCTTCCTCCTACCATACCTTCCGAGATACAATTTCTTTTTTGCTTATCAAATGCTTCTCACACAGTTGAATGATATTATACAGCTTAGCTTCCATACACCACCTATTTTAATTAGTTAGATGTTTGACTTTGTTTTTATTTGCGAAATTTTTAGAATGAGCCTGTTTGGATTAGATTGGTAAGCTAGAAAGTTTACGAGAGAAATGGAGAGATGCATTCATGGAGAACTTTTTAAGGGAAAGTGACTAGTATCCACGTTAAACATCGAAAAAAAACAGAAACTCTCATTTAACCAGAGCCTTCACCGGGATTAAAACCCACCGTTGGCCAAGCGGTAAAATCGCTGAACACTGGTAGTTCGACCTGGGTTGGTATCCCGGCAAGCGGGGTGACTGCTTGTGAACCTTCGTGTTTTTTTTCTTGCGAACCGTGGATACGAGCCAGTTTTCCTTAGATAATCGTTCACGAAGGTATTCCTCTCCTTAGATCAGTAATTTTCAAAGGGTGTACACCAAGGCGTGCAAGCGCAAGTTAGAAAATTTCAGAGTTAGAAAATTTTAGAGTGCACTCTGTGGTATTCCAGAAGAATATGTTTCCAGATAAAAAATTAATACAGTTACTCTATTATATAAATTCATTACGGAAATAACGGTCTTTTTTCAACTCATCATTAGTATGTTAATTAACAGCAGTTTTTCTTGTAAAGAGCAGCCTACTAAGTTTACACATCTTTGCATAAACTTCAGACAGTCTGTGATGTTGAATCAGAAGATATGATAACAATAAAGTTTTAGGATAACTTCATGTGGTACCCTTGTTGTGTATATTCCTTATTTTAAAAGCTCTAGAAAGGCATGTTATGTGCATATTACGTATTTCCTGATAAATACACCCAAACAAAATGAATAAATTTCTCCAGCAGAAGCGAGATATTGATAAATCCGATTTTTGAAGCGATTAAAAGTTAAGTGCAAGTAAGAAAACAAAATTACGGTCTCTCACAAATAAAATGAAAGTTACTTGTGAGAGGTTTCACTTGGATCGGAAATAAAGATCATCCTTTGCCGCGTTGTTTAGTATGCGGATATTAAATGTCAAATCAATCATTACTCCCTAGCAACCTGGATAAGCATTTTAAAATTACACACTATGATTTGTAAGATAAATCTGTAAGTTTTTTAAGAGATTGTATGAACACCAGACAAAAGCTGCATATTCTTTTAGAAGTATCATGATTGTTTCGGCCAAAGCTCGAATCCCTTTTTGTTAAATCTCAGAACTGACAACAAAGAATATGAAATTTATAATTTAGGTGTGTAACTTATTTTGCCTGCATGCAAAAAATTATCATTACATTGCTAAGGAAATGAAGCAGCAATGAAAATAAGTAAGCTTCCTCTATCCCAACTATTCATTTTACGAGTATATTGCATAAATGTCTTTTGATATCGAGAACTATATTACAGGGTTCCTCACTTTTATCTTGTGACGTGTAATATCGAGGAACCAAGTGAAGTGAATAATAGCTCAAGTCCAAGAATAGAAACGTAAACTCGAGAAGGGTTAATTACCCTTTATTTACTCCAAATAAAAATTGACAGTCGGTCCCTTTCTCAGGGCGTACAGCAAAGCTTCCACTTGGTCTTAAGCTCAAAATGTAAGAAATAAGAAGTAACTAAGCACTAACTAAAGATATTTAACCGAAACTAACACAGTTCTAAACTAGTTCGCCCGTAATATTAAAATAGCCAGCGAAGCTTTCAAAAGGCTAGCCCAAAGGCAAACGCGGGCTATTCAGGAATCCTAACTCTCTCTGGCGCAGTGGAACTTGACTTAAATACTCTTCCACTTCTCATTTGCATTTAACGCGCTTCTAAAAACTCATTCTGGTAGGGAGTTTTAGCTGAAGCTAGAAGAGACAAGAAAGAGTCATAAACTTAAAATAACTATCATAAGATTAAAATTCACCTTACAATATATGCAGTAATGTACTTCTTTACCGAAATTTTGAAGCTCCTGAGTCGACAGGCACTACCAACAAACCAGGGCAACTCTTAACATTCGTCCGTTTTATTAATGAAGATTTATAGCAAATCAGCTTTTTTAATGAAGAATTAAGGGCATTTACAAAGGTGAGAGCGTTTTAACATTTTGAATAGCTATTTTGACAAATGGCAGTTAACGTGGAAGTCGTGTGTAGGCATTTGTACAAAGGAGTCCCTTCCATGGGCTTTCCTTGCGTCTTTTGTAAAAACTAAGATGAGAATATTAACGTAACTCATTGCTTTCTTCATAGAGAAGCCTTCATGGCATAAATACTGACAAAAATACTAAGAGAAGTTTATATTAAATTAGTTTAGACTGTAAACTTTATATTAAAACAAGACCTGTCAAATTGCGTTTGCTCGAAAAGATTTGCATTGATATGGATTCCCAACACAGACGACTGTTTTTTCATTGTGATGTGAGGTGGCTGTCAAGGAGAAAGTATTTAACCGCGAACACAAACTACAACAAAAATTTCTTGCGTTTTTTGAAGAGATACGTTTTTAAAACCTTCTTCGGTGCAAATTTTGTATTACCAGGTTACAGTACTTGGCCGATATACTTCAGCAGCTGAATATTTTGAACGCAATGATAAGAACGCAAAGAAAAAAACAAAATATTCTCACACCCACTAATAAAATGAAAGCGTTAAGAGAACACTACAGATTTGGAAAAGAAGAGCTGTTGAAAGTAATTTGGAAATTTTTCCACTGGAAAATAACATATGCATAAATGAAACACTTCCAATACTAGTTGAATATCTAACAAGTTCATGAGGAAAACTGAGTTCTTATATTCCATTACGTAACACCGAACAATACGAACAGATTAGTGGAGTTTGGTTTATATTATTAACAGAAGAAAAATAACTGGGAGCTATATCCTATGATCATGGATTTATCATTAAACATGGGGAACTGTCTCTTGAAGCCTTTCAGATTTTTATAAAAAAGAATATGTTTCAATACCTAAAAATGCTTTGAACATATTACTACAGTTTTCAACATTATGTAAAGTAGGATTTTCTACCCTCACCTTAATTAAGTACGAATATAGAGGAATTCTGCAATGCATTGATGAGGAAATGAGAGTTTTCCTTTCAAATATATACCCAAATATTGAAGAAATACCTAGGATTCCTCAGTTTCTTACAAACACAAGTAGGAATAAACTTAAGGTGTGTTTCACTTCATTTTCTGTCGCATTAATTTTTCCTGTAATATTTGACTTAATTATTGTAACACATGTCTCAGAAATTTGTATATAGGACGTCTACAATTATTTGTAGAATTTTAAATATACCCAACTTCAAAAAGTTTGAGAACCACTGCCTTAGGTTAATAGCACTCTTGTTCTTTGCCATAATCAAATAAACCAAACTAACCAGGATTTGAACCAATGTTCAAAGGTTTTTCTGCTCACCCACGAGTAGGTCCAGGTGTTCTTCGAAAGATATACTAAATTAATATTTGTTTATCTTCCAGATATATACGCGGGACTTTCAGAACTTACGCATGAAGCAGTAACTCGTTGATTTCTCCTGTGATTTCTACCAAAATATTCTGAATCATTTTCAGGTACTTATATTTTCTTGAATTATATACTACTTCGAAAATTTCATTAAGAACTTATCAACGTCTTTAAAGAGTAAAAAATTAAGTAGCAGGAAGTTTTAACAATTGTAATTCTAGATCCCATTGTTCTTTCACTATTTATGCATTTACAGATTTTTTACAGTGTTATTAAAAAGACCAATTCATATAACCACTCAGTTAAAAAAAAATGTCATATTATTATAGGAAAAGGGATTTTAGTTTTTGTTATTTGCAATTTGTGAAGCTAAAGAGAAATTCGATAGATAGATTAAAAGTTTGAAAACTTTAATTTATTACCGTCGGATTAACTCAAGTTGATTGCGAATATGAAACCAGAAGTATTAAATTTTCGCTAGCTGCAAAATCAGTTATTAAAAAAAGAAAAATAAATTCGCTTGTAAGAGAGTATTCTTTAAACAAATCACCTTAATTCTTGCTCAGTAAATTGAAGATTATTTCCAAATCCTATAAATATGTCTTCTAAATGATTAAATGATAATGAAAATTTTTATTATTTATTTGGGGACGTTGTTCATTCTTTCATTCGCATCTGATAATTTTATACAAGTTTAAAAATCTCAAGTTACACAATTCCTTTAGATTTGTATTTTATCTCTGGAAACGAAACTTCATTGCAATAAAATGAAGAAAGAAATGACTTTAAGAGATTCATTTTGCTAATTCTTATTGCAATCGATAAAGTTACAATAAAAGCCACATTAGAGAAATATCTTTTACAAAGAGAAAGCGCTGCACATAAATCCTATGGTTTTGAAAATAAAAATGTACGTCGATTTCACATCATTATGCAGATTAAAACTTTTATTTACAGTTTATATATTTATTTATCCTTTGAGTGGATGAAGTATGTTTTACTTTGTGCGGATCATGAGATAGTTATATTTTTGAACTCTACTATAAACACACTTCATGATTCTTTAAGAAATTAAGGGTTTTTATGCTACATAATTCACTCCACGTTTTGACCTAATGAGGTTTCGAATTTATAACTTAAGTTCCACTATTATTTCTTTTTATTAAAAGGAAAATATACTATATCTGGGAATTTATACGGCTATTTTCGCAAATACATCCAAAAATTTGCAATGCCAAAATATGCTCAGATACATATTATATTGAAATTCAATACCCATCGAAGCTTAAATAATAAAACAGCGGTTTTATTTATACAGAGGATATATTCAGGTTAATCTTATTATTTGAATAGTTTGCTGTTAAGGGTAGATAATCTTTCCTTTTTGTCTCTCAAAACGCGTTTAGACGTTACATTTCATTAACTTTTTAATGATTATCAACGAGCTGAACTCTCATTCCAGTTACATACCTCACTGGGTGCAAGCGAACACAGCTTGCATTATAAATTTACTACTGACAGATATCGCATCTATTTTGGAAGAAAGAATTGCTTAATCTTCCAACTGCCGAAGGTTAATGGCAAACAAGATGTGAGTTGAGAATTTGAAATATAAAGTGCTGCATTTTATAAATCATTGCTTTAATTCTCACAGATAAGATTGTTCATAAATTATTAGTTAAAACATTTGTTAACTTTACTACTTATTATAAATAAAAGTTTTCCTTTTTATTTGATTATTTGATTACAACGACGAACGCAATGGTATTAACCAAAGGTGGGATGATCCTTGGAAGACTTGTAAGAAGAATTGGCTCCTATCCGCATTACACATAAGGAGGACAATTAAAACGTCCTGAAACCAACCCGTTCTCTGAGATCGAACCCCGACCAGAACTACCAGTATTCAACGACTCTACAGCTCCCACCTCGTGGGTCAAATAAAAATAATGAAGATTGTTTAGGATTTATATTTCATATTGTTTACCTAAATACTAATATTTTATCTAAATTTAATTGTTACTATAGAAACCTTTAAATAAATTTAATGATTTAAGAAAAATGTATTATTTTTTAAGTTCCGTATTACAACCTAACCCTAAAAACAAATAAATATATAAATAACAATAAGCAATAATATAGAAAATAAACATTCGTTTAAGTAACGCAAACAGAGAGAAGCAATTAATAATGTACAAATAAATTCGAAAGTATTATTAACATAAGAGAAATTTTATGGGGGGGGGGGTTGAGAAAAGTGTGTTTAACTAAAATGTAGGCCTAAATGATAGGATGAATGAGAATGAGCTTCAGTTATTGGCTGTGACCATTCAAGGATATTTAAATTTTCATCTTAGCATTTACAAACTAAAGATGTTCATGTTAATAAAATATGAGAGAATCCAGCATACTGTAAATACTTAAAAATGTTATTTCTATGACTTTATAATGCATGATTACAATTACAAATGCATGTAAATGTATCTAATTTTTTTAAGAAATGTTATTATGAATTTTTTTAGTTACAGTTATGGGCGTTGCATATTTGGGCTCTCAATACGTAACTCTTCTAAGCTATCACCATCAAGAGTGAGTATGACGCTGAGAAGAAATAACATTATTTTTTATCCGGAAGGAATAATTTTTCCACATAGATGAAAGGCAGAGCATCATCGCGGATTATATTTCAGTTCACTTTCAACTCGGGTTAAAAAATGAGTCATAAACCGTCACTTCCAGCTTAATCGGGATCCATATCATCACACTTCCAATCCAGACTTTTGATTATGGGATTAGTTGCAGTCACGGTGTAGAGTTGCGCGCCTCCAACTTGCACGCAACCAAGAGGTGACTGAAAAAATGACAGAGTCTTGCTAAGGGTTTAAGTCCCTTTTTATTCAACTTAAGAAGTTACAATTGCGTGCTCTTGACACTCACAAACTACGCCGACTCGGCGGTAAAATAAAAATAAGAACCTGAAAAGAAAATAATAACAAGACTCTAATTACGAGGCTCTCACCGTAAAGTAACTACCCTCACCGCGTTTTACAATACCGCTGCTAATTCATCAAACTTTGAATAGCACGTTGAACAATTAACAATTCTCCTAGGCAAGCACACAGGCCGAAACGCGGGGTTCTTCAATTTCAGGCTAACTACCTCCGCGCTCGTGAAGTACGAACAGCACACTTCGAACTCGTTTCCTTTCTATTTAACTCAGATTTACTTCCGCTGATAAAATTTGAATACTCTGCGCGTTCTACTGAAATTTACATAATCTGGCATTGGCTATTCTAGGGGAAAGTAAAGGCTTGACAGGAAAGGTAGTTTAAACTTAAAATAAATGTTAGTTAAAATAAATATAAACCCTACAACGGATAAGGTCAGTTCAGTGTGAAAAGACGTTTTGCGATGATAATATATAATTGATCCCTACAGAAATGTCGTTTCTACTGTCCGTACCTCAACAAAGTGAAATCCCGATTTCCTCTAATTTCTTTAGCTGTGTAAAAACATGCTATGATATGGGATATATAAGGCAGAAATATTGTTGCTACTGTGCGTACGTAGCGGATATTGTTGTAATTAAAAAAACTGTCGACTCAAAAGTTCTAGAAGAAAAAGTTTAATTATACACTGTACTAATTGCCTTATTATGCTTAAGAAACTCCCTAAATTGCAAATTCAAAAAAAAAAAATTGCTGGGGGGGGGGGGGGGGGGGGGGGGGGGGGGGGGGGGGGGGGGGGGGGGGGGGGGGGGGGGGGGGTGGGGGGGGGGGGGGGGAGGGGGGGGGGGGGGGGGGGGGGGGGGGGGGGGGGGGGGGGGGGGGGGGGGGGGGGGGGGGGGGGGGGGGGTGGGGGGGGGGGGGGGGGGGGGGGGGGGGGGGGGGGGGGGGGGGGGGGGGGGGGGGGGGGGGGGGGGGGATGGGGGGGGGGGGGGGGGGGGGGGGGGGGGGGGGGGGGGGGGGGGGGGGGGGGGGGAATGCCTTATTTAATAAAACTGTGCTCAGGCAAAATTTAAATTTAACATACTTTATCTTTGAAGAGGCTTGGAAGTCAAAGCTCTCAGTCCATTACAGGTAAATATATTAAGCTAATTGCCTTTTACCTTTTCTTTTCTTTACATCAGCCGAGTGTACGAAAAGACGTCAATTGTAATTCTCCTGTATCCCTGAAAGTTCTTAATTGAAAATACGTGTTAACAATTTACTCTAAAATAAATGATCCATCTATCTCAAAATGATCCTTATATAATCACAAGATATCTCTTCGCAGAAGCCAGTTTTTTGAAAATTTTAATTTTCTGAAATTTAGCGACAAAATGTTCTATCTCAGATGCCTATCTATACTCTCCTGGTAATGAAAAATCATAAACTCTTGAGCATATCTAGCATTCCAGGATGTCTAAAACACTTTCCTAAACTTTGTGCAATGCCTGAAAAGTTGAAATTTGATGCAGACGGAAGTAATGGCTTATTTCAAATTAAATTAGGCCCTAAACGTTGCAGCTTCAATTGAAGGTGTTTTCGCGCAAGTTTGGATCTCATTTTCGCCGAAGAAATCTTCCTTCGACTTCTCCTTTCTTGAAAAGGGATTTTCTTCTGCTATTGCAAGGAGCGACGAGGGGAAAAAATGAAGGCCAGAAGTAAAAAAGAAAGTCATCTTTTCTACCATTCTTAGAACTCGTCTGCTATGGGGGAAATGTAATCAGACGCAGTAGTTGAATCACTGGAAGGGTAGAGTAACCAGGGCATGTTTATATTTCTCTGGTATCCCCTCAGTTAATACCAGGCACTACTTCATGCATTTTTCATTTATTCATTTTAGACTTAATACAATATTCATGTTTTTTTACGTACAGCGACATAAGTTGGAAGATTATTCGCAACGGACGTAAACTTTCGCATTAAATAAAAGAAGAAAGGAACTTTGAAGAGGAAAATTTGAAATGGTACCTCGGAGCGAGTTTTCTCTCAAACTGTTGGCTCTGTGAGAATCAAGAGTGTGTCTTGGCTCCTGAAATGTGTTACTCTCAACTACAAATTGAAAAAAAGAGAGAGAGAGAGACCTAGCATTCAGTTCAGAAGTTCAAAATGCTCTCGATTAC